TTGCAATAATTTCCCATGAAATAGGACCCAAATTGAGTCAAAGCAGAAAATTATTTATCATTCCACTATTCAAATTCTAAAAATCTTAATAAAACAAAAGAATTGGTCTACTTTGAAATTATTATATTTTTTATTTAAATTTCAAATTCTTATTTGTAGTTACAAGAACTATTAAATTTATTTCTATCTATATATTTATAAGCTATTAATTAGTAAACCAAGCTGATCTTAGAAGTTCGACCTGACTAAGTAGACTTGAGTCGATAATTAATTTTGGTTTTTAGCCAAACTCGATTTTCTTTAACAGATACAAAATTTTATTAAATCGTATTTAGCATTTTTAAGTAAAAAAATAAAAAATAAAAAAAAAATTATTAGATCGATATATTTTTAAACCCTAATATAAATAATAGGTGATTTTAAAATATGTTATTCTCTGTACCTAAAAGTATATAGAATTAAATTTTCATAGAGCAATTCAAAAAAATTTCTCACTATTAAGTTTAAGAATTTTGGTAAATCAAAAAATTGCAATTTCTGTATCTTAAAATTCAATATAATAGAACATTATAAATTTGTATTATACTTAGATATTTTATTTTGAAAGATTTTTAACAAAAATTTTATAACATTTAATTATACCGAAGTTTAAGATACAAAAATTGCAATTTTTTGATTTACTAAAGTTCTTAAATAATGAGAAATTTTTTTGAATTGCTCTATAAAAATTTAATCCTATATACTTTTAGGTATGGAAAATAACATATTTTAAAATCACCTATTATTTATATTAAGGTTTAAAAATTCATCGACCTAATATTTTTTTTTTATTTTTTATTTTTTTACTCAAAAATGCTAAATACAACTAAATCAACTTTATAAAAATCTATTAGTTAAATCGACTAACTGACTCAAGTTGATTTTACAAGTATCGACTTGTATTACTACTATTGATGCTAAATTAATGTATATTGCTATATATTCTAAACTTATCATTATAAAACCTCGTAAAATATATTTAATTATAGTATATAGATCAAAGTGCACAATAATTTTGAATTTGAAATATTTTAACAATTAAAGCTTATTATTATTATTATTATATTTGCAATTAAATAACTATACCCTTTGATTAATATTTAAGATTTTTTTAAAAATAGCTATTTTTAAAAAAAAAAATAAAAGAAAATTTTAAAAAGCTAAAATAATTTTTGCAATTTGTAAAATACTTGCATATTATGCTATAATTATTTCTATAAGAAACACAGGTTGCAAGATAAAATATAATAATGTTTATATTCTTATTTATTCAAGACAATTCTTCACGCTCTGGAACTTGTATCTTTTCAAGAAAATAGTTCATTCGTTCTACAATCTCACTCAGAACCATATTAAACCCTTTTGAAGGGTCAAGATAGTTTAATATAACTGCTATCCCAAATGCGATAGAATTTTTTTCGGTCTTCGGATCCATAAAAGTATTATCAATAATTAAATTAAAATAGATGTAGTTTGGGTCATCATTAGTATTAACAGGTTTATTTAATCTCATATAGCATTCTCGTATAATGTTAGTATTTTTGAATCTTCGTTCTTCATTATGCATAATTTGTCGATTCTTTGTTTTGGACTTTGGAAGGTCATTGAATTTAGTGTGAATAGAATCCTTAATATGCTGGACAATATTACTTTGTGCTTGATGACAAAACTGCTGGGTCTATTAAAAAGGTATATAAGATTAAATAATTTATTAAAAATAATAATTAAGATTGCTTACCAGAGAACTAATATTTTTATTAAAAAAATGTTTCCATCTACAATGTTTAATTTTGTTTTAAAATTCATCCTCTCTCATACTTGATAATGCGTCATAACATACTTTCATAAGACATTCGTCATCCAGATATTTAACTTTTTTATTTGCACTATAAATTGCTTGGCTAATAGAATCCTATTATATCAAATTATGTATTAGACAAGTCAATAAAAATATTTGAGTTGGGTTTGAAAACATTTAACTTGTCAAATGATACACTTATATTATAGTGCTTTTTTTCTTTTTTTTGACTTGTTATTTGTATTATATTATTTAACAATTATGTAGTCTCATAATTATCATATCTGTGAATTATATGAAAATACAAATCACATGATTGTTAAACTACTGTATATTTGACAACAAATTAAACAAGTTGAAGCATGCTATTTAACACTTGCATATCTCGATCTATTTAGTATCATTTTCTATAAGATTACTAAAACCAACAGCTTTCCAATCTAAATACATCACATCAATCTTTTTCTGTAAATCTTGAACTATAGTAATCATTTGAAGCTACACATCTTGCATACTTCTAATCGTTGAAGAAAGACCTAAAATAAAATAAACAAATAATAATAGATTATAATAAAAACTAATTATTAGAAAACAACAGAAAATTAAATAAACTTACGAATCTTCTTTTGTCTATTCATATTTTTATTAGTAATTTCATTATCTTTTCGTTTAGAATTAGAATAGGCCATCTCACTTCCTGAATTATTATTGGTAAAATTCTCATTATCGCTTAAAATATAGTTTTCTAAATTAGATAAAGCATTGTTATTATCGGACATATCTATATAGGGTTCTATAGTTACATTTGAGCAATCTGTATATTTGTCTCTGTTCGAATAAAACTGCTTGAGACGCTTGGAGTGCTTGAGGTGCTTGAAAGATTTGTTTGTTCCTCAAAGAGCTCAATATGAGGCAAAATATGCTGTATACTTTTGTAAGCCGCTTTAGATATTCTTTTCTTTGTATGACCTATATTTGTATCTGTAGCACAAGTTAACAAACAGATATTTTTAGATGTAAAATTTATTAAGTATTTAATTTATGTTTTATAACTTAATTTTATGTTCAATCCTAATAGCATCTTATTTGTATCTAATATTACTTTATCTTAACACAACTTATTACTTATTTTGTAAGAGAAATAGTATTGTAGTAACAAAATTTTTTTCTTTATGACTTTTACTACAATTTGAAAATTATCATATTTATTGTATCATATTACTAAATTCTGCATGCATAAACTTCATTAATTTAACTAATTTATACTAATACGTTTGTATATACAAGTTTATGCATACAAAGCTTATTTTAATAAACACATAACCAGAATCTTTAGTAATAGTAATCATATGATGCATACGTATGTATTAAAGTTAACTATAATTATATAATTATAGAGATATATATATATACAAAAAGTTTTTAATTAATTTTCTTCTAAATAAATATGAAAGTAACTTGCTATTGAAAATAATATAGAACATTAGAACTAGATCATAAAACATAAAGAAAATCTCACAATTTATGCTATTAATAAGCAGGGTTAGAGTGGATTTAGGTTTATTCATTAATTCGAGCGGTCATATATTACTAACTAAATCTTCATAATTATTAGTTTTTAAGATGCCAAAGTGTTATTCTTGCAATAAGGTCTTTAAGAGTTGGCAAGATTTAGGTAATCATATAAAAAAATATCTTGAGAACAATGAAGATGAATTATCTTTACCAAACCAACAAATTTGCAAAAATTCGCCAAAACTAGTCGAAATAATATCTGGAATTCTTAATAATCAAAATATACTTAAAAAGCAAAACATGCCTAAAAAAACAGAAATAAATAATAAGAGAATAAATCTTGAACAAAATTTGAATAATAGTCAAGAGGATATAGATGAATCTATTAAAGAGCAAATCTATAGTATTCCATTTTTTAGCTGCACAAGAGATATTCAAAACTGTGATGAATTTATTGAGAAACAAGACATTGAATTTTTTGATTATGCAAGTGATTCTCAAAGCAGTAACTCGTCTGTCGGGGACAATGCAGTATCTGATTTATCTGATATAACAGATGTTGACACTAATAAATATGCTAAGGATAACGATTTATTTGCTAGAAAGCCAAAGGATCTCAAAGATGTATATAAAGAATTTTTGTCAAAGAAATACGCTGAATTCATGCATATAGTAATACAGTTTCACATACAGAACTCACTTGCAAATGTGTTTATAAGATTTTTTAATAAATATTCATCTTGTAATGATCAGCTATTGCCATCTATATCATGAGCCAGACAGGCTTATATTAAGAACCTTAATTTTCAGAATTTTGGTTAGAGAAAAAATATTTTCTTTAATTATAAGGGCTTAGAATATATACTCAAATTTAGAACAGTTCTCAATAGAATACGTAAATAAGGATATTGCTAAAGAATTTATATTCAAATTTACATTATCTATCGATAATGTGAGTAATAAATTATAGCTATAAATATTTAAATATATATATATTATATATATATTTATAATATAATATATATACTAAGCTTTTGATTTTATAATTAAAGGTGTCTGGTCTACGTTAGTATTCAGATATGTTTGATTCTGACTAGTAGAGAAATATAGTACAAAATTTGCCAATTAGTATATATATAATATCGATCATCCTATATTCAGATACTACTCTTTGCGATCATTTGAAAAAAGCATCAAAACATCTAGTATTTATGATGCTATGAAATATTCTTTTAGCTTGTCACAACAAAGTTGATGCTAAGATTTTGCTCGGATATATTCTCAATCTTGTGTATCACAGCACATCAGAAAAATAATTAGCCCAATGCAAGACATGAATTTTTTCATCATATACTTTTGGCTATGCTTAGACCTTTAAAATCCTTAAGCAATACCGGTATCTATCTATATGTTAATAGCAATTTTAAATAGTTTTATCCATATTTGATACTGATAATTTCAGATTGACCCAAAGTATACATAATGTGTACAACTTATAGTTCACCAAGTTCATTATATCTATGTCATTTCTGTTTAGTAAACTGTAATATAATGAGTAATATTTATCTCGAAAAAACAAATATAATTCTCTGAAATAAGAATTCAACTAAAGATTTTTTGTGCTAGGGTAATAGCAAGCAAATATTAGTACATCATGCAAGAAATGCATTGTGAAAACAACCATAAGTAGATCTAATTAGCATAAATAAAAAAAACTAATACTATCTAATCTATTATTTGAGCCTAACATGTGATTTCGCGGATTATAATGTGATATAATATGTGTATAATTTTCGATTTTTACTATATGAAACCACCACGTTCATGCAGCATATGAACAAAAATTGATTGTTTAAATGAATAAAACAGTTTGTTTCTGTGAATATAATCACTTGACTTGTTATACTTTTTGAATTTTTATTGCCTAATAACTCAAATTCACATAATTCATATAATTTGCATA